ACAAAAAGCACCAAATAAGCAACTCTTTGCAGTTGATCACAGTGCAGAAATGTAATCTGTATCCATATTTTACTTTGATTTCTCTGGCTGTTTTTCCCCTGACTTCACCAAAGGAACAGTGGATGGTCACTCCATTTCTTAGGTAGCACAGCTCTTCCTCTGCCCTGGACCTGCCTGGGCACAATATTTACTTCCACATGTGCCAGCACAGATCTGTCTGCAGCATTTCAAACCCTCAGCAGAGGCAGCTATAAAACGATCAGGACTGGGAGCAAAGCTATTATCCCCACTTATGCCACAGTCAATTAAGTAATATTTAATACAGGAGAAAGCAAGAAGCTAATGAAAGGCAGCACTAATGCAAAGCCTCAGCTGCTCCTGCCTCTAATCACAGGAGAACAAGCCCAAATCTTGGCTCATGTGCCACGCTCCAGCCCCTGTGTCCATGACACAGCAGGTAAGGCAGGACAGTGACCTGGGCCTTACAGGCCAGTCCCACACTGGTTTCTCACCAAGTGGTGTGAGGTCCTTATCCAACCCTCTTTGTGTATTGTTTCTGCTTCTGTCTTTTGCAGTGATTCACACGCGGGAAGAATTAACAATAGCAACTCTGGATCCACTTGGAAGTGGGTGGAATAATGAGCTGCCTTCAAAGATACCAACACGTATATGACACACAGTAACTGATGGAGCAGCAGAGCCTGAAAGAGCTGTCTGTCATCAATGAACTGCACTGCCCAGCAGTCGGTCTGTTCTGTCAGGCACCAACAAGCTGTTCAGCATTCCTCAAAATTCCCTGATTATGTTCCATCCCACATCCTTTACCACCAAATACTAATACTGCACCAGTGGTTAAGGCCAGGCCACCAGAAGGCACAGCATGAGGAGGCCTTCAGCCTCACTGAGGACAGGCTGAGCCCAGAAGAGTTTTGTGATGTGAAAAGATTCCTCAAAACTCTCCACATCGTCGTTTCATCTGAAAATGTGTCAGAAGAAGCTGGAAATCAGCAGTGGAACACAGCAGCCCTTTATTTAGGGGGAAAAAGCTTTTTTAACAATACAAATGCCCTGTCCTCAGGTAACACTCAGTAAGCAGCAAGAAGCCACTGGCAGGTTGGAAAGCCTGGGCTGACAGTAAACCACACATTTCACAGCATGACACACAACACTCCTCCCATTTAGTATTATATTAGTAACTGAAGTTAAGTTTTTTCCCAGCCAGCGGCACTGATTGCTCCTTTCACTCTTCCGAAACAGTTTAGGGGACAAACCAGCAATGAGATTCTTATCACCCTACACCAGAGACAGGAAAATGTGAATTTTTCAATATGATTTTTCCTGAAAGTATCAATTACCAAAAACATGAAGGCACACACAGCAGTCTCTGAGAAAAGAGGGGGACAATCTTCTCACGTTATAAGAGAGGTGCAGATATTTAGTACAGGACTTTTTAAAATCCCTTCTCTCTCCTTAAGTGTCCTGCAGTAAATCAAAGACACCTGAAATACAGGGCTACTGTCTGAATGAGCCTAAGCACACTCATTAATACCTGTTTCTGTTACTTAATCATTTCAGTTTTCTAAAGGAACATCTCACATCAGCATCTGACAGGAGCTTCCTTGTTGGGAAAAACAAACTTTTAACTGTGAATGAAAAACACTGTGCAAGGGCCAAACAGCATCAAAGAAATATCCTGTCCCTTACTGCACATTTAGGAGAACAGATGTAATTTATCAGTTTGGACTATCTTGGCAAAAATCCAGTATATTTTACCAGCCTGTGGTACAAGGCACTCCTCTCCTGAGCATGCTGTGGAGCAGATCCCGAGGCAGTAGGCACAAAGTAGGAGAAGTTACTCCACGGCATACAAAACCAGCTAATAACTGCTGAAAAGCACCACTTCCATTAGCAAAAGCATCCCTTTTCCAAATGAAAGGGAGAGAATGAGGTATTGGAAATGAAAAGTCAGGAAAACGCAGTAGGATCAAATCTGGCTTTGAACTGGCACTGGGAAACACCACAGGAACGAAAGCATCTGTTGGAAAGTAAACACAACGTGTCAGAGCTGGGAGGGAGCTAATGCTGCTCTGCCACCTCACTCCTGGCACACAGCACTTACCCCGCAGGACCAGGCAGCTCCAGCACTCCCCAGAACACAGGAAATGGACACCGAGCCTGCACACAGCAGTGGCTGAGGTAACCACCTCCTCTCTCCTACCTCGCATCCTTGGGGGAGTCCATCCCTTCAGTTTCAGTGTTTTAAACTCAGAATAAATGGGTCACACAATGGAAATGCCTCTGACAGGGAATTAACACTGCAGAGGCTGTGAGCTCAAGGGCCAGGCAGCCTCCAGCACTCTCAGCTCCTCTAAGGAGCTGAGGAGCACACAAAGATCATCAGTGAAGAGATGTGGCCTGCTCTGACTTCAGGACACACCTTGAGGTGTGAGATTTAGGGCCACAGCAACACAGGAAGAACAGAAACCCACCAAGCAAGTGGAGCTGTCAAAGAACTGCACTGAGAAACCCACTGTGAACTGGGGTGTCAAGCACTCCTAGAGCCTCGATGGGCTGTGAAACACCAGATATGCTCATGTGGTACCTGCGTAAGAAGTAAAAAGGAATAAAACTTTCCATCTCAGATCTACAGGAGAGACTGCCCAGAGAGATGAGGGAATAAGTGATGGCAGATTTTTCCATGTGATTAAATTCCAAAACATAAAACCCAGGACATGTAAATAAACTAACCTACTGCTAAAAGCACAAGTAAATCAGAAGTCAAAACAACAATCTTGCCTTCATTTCTCTTCATATCACTGCTATTTAACAACCACAGCAGCTCCTTTCCAGAAACAACTCTTCCTGGAGAAACTCCTGTTGAGCCAAGACCAATGGCCAATATCCTCCCCACTAAAGCACACTGTTTGTTTTAAACAAATCTGCTTTTCTGAACAAGATAAGAGTGCCTGTCTTAGGCTTAGACACTTATCTTGAGACACACAAATGCTGGTTGAACTACAGCACTGGAACAACATTTAACAGATACAATGAACAATGGAAACACTGTAGGGAAAAGAGGAAGAATTTCTACAGCTAGTTCCTCTAAATCAGCATTCTGATTTTGTAACATCACCTGAAAATTAGCCAATGTCCCTGGCCACTGCCTGGAAAGCACTGAATCCACACCCAAAAGCTCAACAGCAGGTTTACAGCTCTCTCCAGCCGAGCCAGGAAAAAGTACAGTCCTTTCCTGGACTTGCAGTCACTCTCTGGAATTAAGATAAATGTTTGAAGGATTCCCAAACACACAGGTTTTACCAGGGCAATGTCTTAATCAGCTGAACACATCCTGGTATGGGCTTTAATTTTTACTGTGCTTGTGATGCTATTATCCCTACTGTTATCTGTCTCAAAATCTCACCTTTTGTACTCCAAACTGAAGAGTTTAAAACCCCACCATGGTGCAGCCCAGCTGTTCTGAGACAACATATTGCTCTGAGCTCACTGAATCCCAGAGTGTGCACACACCCCAGTAACAGCTTCCTACAAGTACACATAGCCCTACAAAATTGTCCCAGGAGTGTTTTTCCCTAACTCCAAAGGACACCAAAGCCAATGCATTTTAACCATTTCTGTCACAGACTGAGCACAAGCTTGGTGTGGCTTGCAATTCTCTTTATGAAGCTGTTTGTCACAAATTTATTTTAGAAAAACCATTCCATTCTTCTCAAAGAACTGGTGCCACAAAGGCCTGGACCTTCACCAGGAGGATCCTCAGGGCTTTGACAGCTGATGAAACACTCTCTGTCCTATGCACAAAGGAATAAAGCAGATTTACTAAAAGCAGCACACCACATTGGAGGAGCTCCATAAGAATACTGCTCACCAGGTCCTGCTCTGGCAGAACACACTAGGCTCATTAATTCCATACAAATTTCCTGTTGCCCCTTCATGGTGTTTCCCACATTTTTCAGGGCACTGCACAAAAGCCCTGCCTTCCTCTGTCACCAAACCAATATCACAAATTTAACATATGCTGAAATAAATTGGATTCAATCATCCTGGTGGGTCCCTTCCAACTCAGCATATTCTGTTAAAAACAGAAATTTTCCAGGTATGCTTACTACCAAACAACCCCTTGTCCTGTGCACAGAGATTTTAGAAGTTGTATTTTTTGTTTCAGATCAATAGCAGCAGCAAGGAAGATCAGTTTTCCTAGTAAAGTTCTTCATTTAGTTACATGTTTACAACTTTTCAGCTTTTGATAGCTGATACTGACTCCACAGCCACCCCCCACCACACCAGCAGAGCCCAGCTGTCAGACCAACGTTAAGAAAGCTCCCCAGGTTTCATGAGTTACTTGAAGATGAACATAAATGACATTGGGGCCCGTTACTTCTCAATTACCATGTGACACTTCACTGTGGAGTCTCACATAACACGTTCTTGATGACTAATTATTTCACCTATACTAATTTCCTGATCACGTGCTTCTCACACAAGAGTGGATAACAGGCCGACACGGAGAACTGACTGCTGCCTAGAAAAGCTCTGAGAGAAGGACATTTCAGTCAGGAGAGCCTAAACATGAATGGTCTGAAAGCTGAATTAGGAGCTTACTTCTCCTGCACAACAGCTTCAGGGTGAAGAATACATAGCTGACTACAGCACGTGACTGTAGGGCTGGAGAGGAAGGAATTCCTCTATATTATTTCTCTATAATAATGTATACATTTGCGTGTGTATATACATGTCTGCATGTCTATCACAGATCTCAACACCACAGCACACTGAACGGAAAGGTGAGCACCAAGCATGACCCTCCCTCATTAGCTGTCCTGCTCTCACCCAGCCTGTCCCTCCTGCCCCACACCCCAGCGTCACCTTCCTCGTTCTGAGTCCCGCTTCCCCCTTCCCAAAGCAACATTCCCTTCCCAGACCCGGCCCCAGCGGCCAGCGGCGACATCCCCGGGCCGCAGCGCGGGGAAGGGTCCCCTCACCTCATCCTCCTTGTGATTGCGGATGCCGCGCACCAGGTCCTGCAGGTTCTTGTCAAACATACGGTCGATGCTGCCCTTCACCATCTTCAGCGCCATGGCGGCGGCGGCGGGGCCTGCGCCGGGCTGAGGGGCCGGGCCCGGCCGGGGGGGCCGCCGCGGTGCTGCTGCCGCTCGAGCCGGGTGAGAGCAGCGGTGCCGGGGCGCTCACATGCCGAGGGGAGCGGGAGGGCACGGGCGGAGCTGCCCTGGCGGACGGGCGGGCACAGGCGACCCCGGCCGCGGGCACAGCTCCAGGCGGCGCTGGGGATCCGGCACCGACAAAATGGCGGCCGGTCAGCTGAGGGCTCGGCCACGCCCCCCGCATGGCCACGCCCCGACCGGCGGACCACGCCCCCAGGCCAACACCGTCCGCTGTGCTGCTCTCCAGCCCCGCCCACTCCGTCCGGGCCGCGCCTCCGTCTGGCCACGCCCCCGGAACGGCCCTGGCGCCCCCCCCCCCCCCCCCCCCCCCCCCCCCCCCCGCCCCAATGGGA